GGGTGGGTGGGTGGGGGGGGGTGTGTGTGTGTGTGTGTGTGTGTGTGTGTGTGTGTGTGTGTGTGTGTGTGTGTGTGAATGCAGGTAGACACACACATACACGCGTCGTCCTGTATGAACCAGAAGCACCTGCTGCGCTTCATCAAGAGGGCCATGAAAAAATACCCTGAGGAGATTGTTCACATTGAGCGTGGCCGAGGTCAAACCCTCAAAGAGGTTTTTGAGACCATGAACCTGACAGCCTTCGACCTGAGCGTCGACACGCTTGATATGCATGCGGTGAGCGATTGCAGCAAGGAGGACCAGATATCAACCCTTCTGAGGATATACTGGTCATAATAAATTGGACTGACTAACTTGTTTTTGTTTGTTTCCAGGACCGCAACACGTTCCATCGCTTCGACAAATTCAATGCCAAATACAACCCCATTGGAGAATCGATCCTCAGAGAGATCTTCATCAAGACTGACAATCATGTTGAGGGGAAATACTTTGCACACATAGTCAAGGTTTGTAAAAAAAGCATCTTCGGGCCCAATTTACCAAAGGTTTGCTCATGCAAAATTGGGCACAAGCTTGATTGTGCCGCAAACAGATTTACTGACTGTCTGCCAAAGTGACTTCGCAACAAGCATCAGTTGAGCAGATACATACATGGCAATTTTCCGCGGATCCGCGGAAATCCGCCGTTTTATTTCTTAAATTGATCATTTTTGTGAATCGTCTAAATCCGTTGAGAAAATTTTGGAATGTGTTTACTTTTTTAGTTTTGATTTTGAGCAGCAAATTTGGAGTTACATATTGGTGCTCACCAGGAATGCATAGGCAAAATTGCACAAATTTTCACTTGAAAGAATAGTGGCGATCTTGGGATTTTTTTCTGTTCAATTTTCAAACTGTGTAAATTTAATACACTTCATCTTCAGCATGTTTAGTGCCACTTTTGTAAGTAACCACGCCCCCGTCCAGGCCACGCCCCTTCCGCTTTTTTCATCACTCGCCATTGCCATGTATGCAGATAACATCAGTCAACATTCAAATGAGAAGTTTCGAGCTGTTTCTTGCCACTTTTAGCTGAAGGCTACTGTCAATCTAAACGTGAAACCAAAATAATTAAACAATTTTGTATTTAAAACAACCGCATAGCCTCCACTAACTTAACGCTCACATATAATGGAAAACACCATTGGCACACAGGCTAACAATTCACATCTCTCTGGCAGTAATGTTATCCTTTTAAGCAAGAGATTTCTGAAGACAAAATGTGCAGCACAACAAGCAATATTACTGCCGCACTGAAAATCCGAGAGGAGCTGAGTCACCTGCATATACATATGTCTGTCTTGTACTGCCTCCAGGTGGCCAAGGCACGTGCACTAAAACGAGCAGCACAATGATCATTTAAAGGAGAAATTGTGACAAAAATTCTCTTTTCAACTATATTTCATGATGTCATTCCTGTATGTTTTTATAAAGCAATTCAATGTCCGCGATTTAGGATTCCTGTAAATTACAATTTCAGGCCCGTACATTTTTGAGTCTTCAAATCTGAATGCGAAACCAACAAACAGCTCCAAGAAAAGAAAAAAAAGTGTTCTTTTGTTCATGCAGGAGGTGATGTCCGACCTTGAGGAGAGCAAATACCAGAACTCCGAGCTACGTCTGTCCATCTATGGTCGCTCCAGAGACGAATGGAACAAGCTGGCCCAGTGGGCTGTCAAACACCGGGTGTATTCCGATAACGTGCGCTGGCTTATCCAGGTGCCTCGCCTTTTGTAAGTAACACTTTCATTCTGAAAGAACCCATTCACAAGGGGCATAGCGACTGCGAAAATTTGGTGCTGATACCCATTCGGTTTGGCAGAGGTCTGCAGTTTTATTTGCGGACAGCCTCAGTCCTTAAGTATGTATTTATTTGTAAACAAATTCTCACAAGCATTGTCTTCCCACAGCGACGTGTATCAGACAAAGAAGCAACTGGCAAATTTCCAGGAGATGCTCGAGAACATCTTCCTGCCGCTGTTTGAAGCCACCATCAACCCCCAAAGCCATCCCGAGCTGCATCTCTTCCTGGAGCACGTGAGCGTCGATTTTTCACCTTTTTAGCCACGACCTAGCACGACTAAATTCCCTTCCCCCTGTCATACAGGTGGTGGGCTTTGACAGCGTGGATGATGAGTCCAAACCCGAGCACCATATTTTCAATCTGGATAGTCCTCTCCCAGCCAATTGGAGAGAGGAGGACAACCCGCCCTACTCCTACTACCTCTACTACACCTACGCCAACATGACCGTGCTCAACCACCTTCGCAGGTGATGTTCTGTCCCCATGCTGCAATTAAAAAAAAAAAAAAAAGAAACAAAATTGACATCTTAATCATATATTTTTTTTCAAAATCTGTCCAAAACAGGAGGCGAGGCTTCCATACGTTTGTGCTGCGACCTCACTGTGGGGAGGCTGGGCCAATCGTCCCCATGCTGCAATTAAAAAAAAAAAGAAACAAAATTGACATCTTAATCATATATTTTTTTTCAAAATCTGTCCAAAACAGGAGGCGAGGCTTCCATACGTTTGTGCTGCGACCTCACTGTGGGGAGGCTGGGCCAATCCACCACCTGGTGTCAGGGTTCATGTTATCAGAGAACATCTCCCATGGTCTGCTGCTCAGAAAGGTCAGCACCGCACTCGCTTATCGTACGCCATCGATACACTGATAGCATGCATCAATTTTCTGCTTTTTTTATTTATTTTTAAATTTATATATCTTTTTTAATACAGTACAGTATTTTCATCCATTTACTGAAAACAGTGTCAATGATTCCCAACCACTATGCCTTGGCACATTAGTGAATACTGTACATTGAGACAATCATTGTAATTATTATACAATGCCAAAGTGTATCTCAACACTTTAAAATGGGGGTAAAACGATTTCAAAAATGTTTATGCATGTCAAAGATTTTTACCTATTGCGGGTGTGTGGAACTTTTGCCCTGCCATAAATGGGGCTTCAATGTAGTCTACAATAGGGCCCAAATTAGCCCCTTTTGAAATCTGCAAAAAATATTATTATTGCTGCTTTTTGTTTTACACAATACACCATAAGACAAAAATAAATGCATGTTTTTGTCTTTTGTTATAAAATACATTTTAAATTGGTTAAGCGAAATGTAAGACTCACTTCTATGATCAAATATGTCTTGGACATTTTCCCCTCAGGCCCCTGTGCTGCAGTATTTATACTATCTGGCCCAGATCGGCATCGCCATGTCCCCTCTGAGCAACAACAGCCTATTCCTTAGCTACCACCGCAATCCGCTACCAGAGTACCTGTCAAGAGGCCTCATGGTGTCCCTGTCCACGGACGACCCCCTCCAGTTCCACTTCACCAAGGTCAGCGCGAGGACACTCCATCTAGCGAATCAGGACGGTTTGCCTAGTAGATGGTCAGAAGTAACAGGCGATATGTGTGTGTGTGCGTGTGTGTGCAGGAGCCTCTCATGGAGGAATACAGCATTGCGACTCAAGTCTGGAAGCTGAGTTCTTGTGACATGTGCGAGCTGGCAAGAAACAGTGTTCTGATGAGCGGCTTTTCACACAAGGTAAACTGCTCTCTTGATTTTCTGCAAGTCATGGCTTTGTTTTACACATCTATAATTGCGCAAAGTGGGGATGTAGCGGAGGCAGTAATGTTGGTCATGCGTTTGGGGACGTTAATTGCCTTCAATTAATTTTTTTTTCCCCCTCTCCTTCTCGGCACATAATGCAGGAGGAGGACAAGATACTGCAACCGCAGATGCATTTTTGTTCTGATTAATGTGCGTTCGTCTTAAAAAAAAAAAAAAAAAAAAAAAAAAAGCGGCGTGTAAACTGGTACTAGTTAGCCCCAAGTACTACCCCCACAGGTTTGTACTATACATAGCTCACCCGTGATGAGACTTTCTAAGAAGATATAACACAGAAGAGCAATGTTAACATGATTTTTTTTTTTTTTAAACTTAACGTGATACATGTTTCGTCTGGATCAAATAGTCCATAATTTAATATGAAAATTGTTATCTCCAGGCCAAAAGCTACTGGCTGGGCCCCAGCTATTACAAAGAGGGCCCAGAGAGCAACGACATCCGCCGCACCAACCTCCCCGACATCCGGGTGGCATACCGCAGCGAGACGCTCTCCGAGGAGCTGCAGCTCATCACGCACGCCGTGCGCACCGAGGAGCTGGAAACTATCAGCGAGGAGGACACACTGTGCATGGGGCCTCTGCCCGGGTGCCGTTGAGCTCCCCAGTCAAAAGCACACCGGCCAGTCATCCATGTCACGTGACACCTGAAGTTGTTGTAAGGAAGTAGTCCCCACCTGCACACTTCAAACCCTCGCACACATTTCCACCATCAGCCAGCATCAGGAGGTCAGCTGGGGGGTTACTGAGATCCATCCGTTTCTCCATTCATCCATCCAGCCCCTTAGCCATCCATCCATCCATCCATTCATGTATAGTCACTGTGATGCATCGTAGGCAGAGTCTTCTATTTTCTTGAATTAAGTCGGACACACCGCACAAGCAAATGTTTGCGGCTCAAAGCACAGCGACAAGGCCAATTATTATTCCTTCACGCTTCTGGCAAAGGTCTGCCAACATTCCACTGAGGGAAAGAGAATGAAGGCATTCTTGTGTTGTTTTGGGACTTGAGTACTAAATATAACATGCATCTGAGCAGGAGGACGAGAAGAGTTTCTTTACCTCACTGTGGCCGTGAATCCCACACTCAGTCCTTATTGGCCTAAAATCCCCCCCGCCCCCAAAAATATTTTGCATACAGAATGAAGGCATTCTTGTGTTCTTTTGGGACTTGAGTACTAAATATAACATGCATCTGAGCAGGAGGACGAGAAGAGTTTCTTTACCTCACTGTGGCCGTGAAGAGTGCTCCCTCCACACTCAGTCCTTATTGGCCTAAAATCCCCCCCGCCCCCAAAAATATTTTGCATACATCGCACTATCCAAATGCACCAAATGTTACAGTGCCTTGTTCATTCTTCATGCAGCATTGTCTGCATCTAGGATTTTCAGTGCTCAAATGAGCCACCTGGCGGCATGCACAAACTGAAGGGGATTAAAAATACTTTTTTTTTTTTTTTGCATGCCTGCATGTTGATTCCATGTGTTTACAGCAAGCTGTAATGTAAGGCAGCATGTCCACCAGCCAGCTTTAGAGTTTGTATTGAAATGCACTACCATTTAAAAAGTTTGGGCTCACTTCGAAGAAGATGTTTTGTTTAAAGATAGCCACTGACAACACGTATATTTGAAAAAGCCATTATAAATTAGTTTGAGCATACCACTTGCCATGACATCTGTTGGTCAGACGCTGAGCTGCATTGTATTTGTTCACGGAGTAAACTAACAGCTCGGGCACGTAGTTATTGTAGCGGAAAACTCAAACTAAAAATACATGTTTTGTTTTACTTTGCCCGCAACCTCATTTTGGGTCCTGACCCACCTGATGAGATTCACTGGTCTTGACATTATTAATGTGCTTTAAAAAAAAAAAAAAAACGTTTTGTTATAATATAAAGATGTTTCTAAGTGACATCCAAACTTTTTGAATGGTATATTTAGTTTTTCTATCTGCTCATTGACCACATATGAGCACACCGTGCTGGGTCACGTTTAGTTCTGTTGCTTGGCTGTTGTAGCGATTCCAACTTGACATTTTACACTTCAAATACTTGTGTGTGTCACCCGTAGGTTGACCTATAACCTCTCATCCCATCGATAATGTCATTCAGGCCATTAAGCATGTATCTGAAGGATTCAACAGCAAGCCCAGTGGTGCCTTGAGATGCGACTGAGCCGACTTTTTCACATGCATTTAAAACGACCACCCAGCTTTGCCTTGAGTCCGCTTAGCTTAATGCTAATAAACAATGCAAAATGCCACTAGGAGCTAACAAACGGTGTCTGTTTGTTATAGAGATATGGTATTTCGAGACAAACTGCATCAGCACAAGTAGAGGTCACAATGCTCACCCATTCTTTATCCTCTGCGAAGAACAACTATTACGACGGCAGCTTACCAAGTCACACACAGTAATTGGGAGTCTTCTTTGTTTGTGTCTTCGTGACTGTATTTTGCTGCGTCCTGGTGGCTAAGTCACACACCCCATAAAGAACTGCAATTAATCATGATGCACAAGATGTTTGGTTCTGCTCTTTATTACTACATCATTTTACAAGGTACAATGTTCTAGAGTACCATCTTCTTTATTAAAAATCTTTTTTTTCTGGGAGGGAGAGGTGAAACATTTGGGAAAGATAATTTAAGATATGAGAGTTATGAGCATGGGCACAGAACTAATTAAACTCATCTCAAGGCACCATTGTACAGTGCTCCCTCACTATTCGCGGGGCATAGGTACCAAGCCCTGCCCGCACAGTAAGTGATTCCTGTTAAAAATGTTTGTTGCCTACAGATGCCACAAGATGGTGACAAAGCACCACTTTTCAATTAGACAGCCCCTTATGTCAATGTAATTTCTTGACACCTAGATGTCACAAGATGACGCCAGAGCAATACTTAAAATATGGCCCAAGCAGATGGTCCGCGTGAATTTGCGAATATGTGGGGGAACACTATGCTGAATTTCAATATACCCTGCATCAATAAACAAGCACACCACATCAGACAGCAGGGAAGTTAATTCAATACGCCTCAGACAGTATTAATCAATACTGATGATTATTGCCTTCGCAGAGTCAAAATCTCTCTTGTAGCTTTTAGAAGATATGAAAATGTACCAAAAGACGTGACCAGTTTCGCACGCACTCTTCATTTCCCTCCTTTTTGTCATTGAGCTGCGATGCGGAGCTACTGAGGTGCACTGCGGATGTGAATGTGCCGCAAAGTATGAGACTGTTGGCCTTATATACAAAGTGTACTTTTAAATGCGTACATTAATTTTTTTCATCATTAATCTGATTCTGTTCATGTTCATCATGATTATGTTGCCGCTTGGTCATTGTGATTGCTTAACGCATTTTTTTATGTTGCTTGTTTTATTACGCAGCAGACAAGTTTCCTTGCAGTGACTTAAACAGCCAACAGGGGGTGACAAAAGTACATTTTCCATCCTGCATGATATCTTAACTCCATTGAGAGGTCTCCTTATTTAGGATTAATTTTTTACACAAGTGTTTCCAAACATTTAATCAGTAAAAGTGTATATTTTACGTCAGAAAGTCATGTCCCAAAAAGTTAAACACAGTTTAATGATGTAGCTGTTGCCCTCTAGTGGAAGATCATTTAATTGTTTCACCTGTCACTATACATAGCTGGGAATGAATACTTGAACCAAGACACAGTATTTGTAGTGAATTGATAGTTTTCGGTACAATTAGGTACATTTGTATAATTTTCCATTGCACGCCTGATAATCTCTTAAGCACTGGTTGTGAATCGCTGCTTTGCATCAATAAAAAATAAATACTGTACAATAAATATAGAAATAATATACAATTATTTTTTTAAACAATATTTTTAACTCATAAAAGATCTAATTTTGTGGTATCGAATGTAATTTTGGTTTGTAGGTTAGCTTGAAAACCGTCAATTTACCAGTAGGTGGCGACACAGATCCATGGTTCATGTTTGTGTTCCATTAGGCAACAATTAAGTCAGTAATTATACACGTTGTGGCTTTCATTCAAATATGTCAACTCTCGAGTTGAAAGTATTTTAGGCTACTGCAGATTTCACCAATTTTGTAGCTCAAAGAGAAACATAAATGTGTTCCATGCCCGAACAAGCCGTCCTTCCAGTGTTAACCAACATACAATTTGTAAAATCAAACCAGGATTTCTTTCCCCCCAATAGCAGAATAGAAGTGACAGGGATTGATCATTCACTTTCGACTGTCATTAAAAAAAAGGTTCTTAAGGTAATGTCAAATTTTAATTTGATTGACTGTTGTCTGACGTATACGGGATTGCTACGGAGAGTGAATGATGTGTTTTCATTTCCCGATCACTACGAAACACAATGTAGCTCGTCCTACCTCACAATTCCTAATCCTGTAGTTGTCCTGTATTTTTCTCGTCACATACACGAATCACAGTTTTAGAAAAAAACAAATTCAGATGTTAAATCCGGGTAGTTTCTATGCTTTTTATGTTTGTTAACCAATGTTCCGATGCCTCGGTTATTTTTGCCCACTATCTACAACTGCGGTAGGGAGATTATCAGAACACAACCGATTCGCAAGAGTTAACATGTTATGTCTGAGCAGTTAAAATAAAGCACGTTTCTTCATAATGTACTGTTGTGATTGCTACCGTTTTTATTTCTCGGTTTCTCCGAAGGGGATTTTCATGTCACTGCAATTCGTTTTTTGTCCACCAGATGTCACCTTTTCGCTTTGAAGCGCTAAACAGAACAGGCTAACGTCTTTTTGGTCTCAATCCCTGCCAAATAGTTTTGCTCTGACCAACCAAGAAGACAGAAAACTGCTCACATACTTGTGGGCCAGCTAGCTAAAATATCAGCAAAATGAATAATAATAATAATAATATTAAAATCTACCGTCCTCAAGGTGAAGGCATCGTCAGGTAAGCGCTTCAAAACGAAGAGAATAGACACTTCTGAGCAAAATAATACAACTTCATGGTACAAATAGGATTTAGGTTGCATAGTTAGTGCTTCTGACAGCATTTAGAGAAGGCCTTGCAAGCCCTGACTGGAGGCAACAGATGGTCGAAACGTTATTGACGCGTTTCAGGCATCTGTTTGAAACGAAAGCCACGGACATCCGCAGGACTCACGTTGAATAGCAAACATCCGCGATCACGTTAAACGTTGCTAACATAATTTTCTGCCATGGGTATATTACCTGTACCGGGCGAATTTAAAACTGGCATTTACACCTGGAAGATGTATCCATTAATGGAGTTGGAATTTGAATACTTTCACACTGAGGTCATATTTTGCTCTGACTGTAGGTGAATTTAAAAAAAAACGTACAGTATTCGTAAACCCAGGGCAGGACTGTACAATAGTGGCTTGCATGTCTGCCTCAAAATTCTAAGATACAGGGTTCGAATCTCAGCTCCAGCCTTTCCCGCTTTTTTTCTGGGTATTCCAGCTTCTTCCGACATTTCAAAAACATGCATGAAGACTTTAAATTGGCTCAAAGTGTGAATAGTTGTCCAGAGTCGGCTGGGATAGACCCAGCAAACCTAGTGAGGATAAGTGTTGTAGAAATTGGACGGATGCGTGGGTGGGTGGATAGAAAAACTATGACGAACCAATAAATATAGTCTTGTTAAATTAATGTCTCTCTGGCAGTGCCAATCAAAAGCTAGCATGATCATCTTTGTAAATACAGCATTTTGAAGTCCGGTTATAGTATAACATACAGTCAAGATTTCTAATGTGAAAAGTGCCAGTGTAAAAATGACAGAGGATTAGCTGTTGTGAGCTGAAGGTGGGTCGCCTCTGGTGATGTTTTCCTTCATGACAACTCTTCGGCTCAGTTTGCAGCCTATGGTTGTGAAGAAAACAGAGAAGTAACAGCGTAATTGTCACACACACAGAATTTGTCTGTCGTTGGTCTCCCTGGAAAATGAAGGAACAAGTTGATACTCACAGCCAGGGCGGCGGAGCGGACTGCTTGTAATTGGAAGAACACCCTTCCGCCTTCTTCTGGACACACCGTCTTCAGTTCCTCTCGGGTCATGCTCAGGAGCATGGAGCCGCTCAGCACGCCCAGACAGCGCACCGTGCTGCGCGCACAGACGAAGAACAAGAAAGGATGTGAAAATCAGACGTGTGAGGCAACCAACACGGATTCAAATGCAATGTGTGAGTACAACAGTCCAGCTAAAGCTCTTTAGATTTTACCAAAAAAAATATGTTGCGCTAAAAAAAAAAAAAAAAAAAAGAAAGAAAAAACATGACTTAAGAATAATAAATGCCAAACATGATCAGTGAAAAAAAAATTGTCATGTTCCAAATCAAACTAGAGGCTGTAGTTTAGCATGATGCAGATTAGCGCTCCGTCATATTGACAGTTGCTCTCGTTCGATGTACTGTAAGTGTCCCTGGAATTGTTGTTAGTGACGGACTGTACTCACATCTTGGTGAAGCCCATGTGTTCAAGCCAGGCTTTCACCTCAGCAGGTTTGGACTTCTTGCCTAAGACGGGAGAACTTCCGGTTGGCTGAGGAAGGAGAGAGAAGATTCAGTAACACTCTGTTTTTAAAATACAGTATATGACAGCGTAGATAAGTTATATAATAAGTGCAAATGTTGTATAAAATTGGAACGTGCCATTGCCGCCACCATGTCATCAGCTTGTTGTTCATTTTCAGTGAGGGCGTTGTTGGGTACGAAACCTTCTTCTCCTCTGCTGTTCCTCACTTTCCACCACAGCTTGGACACGTCCAGCAGCTACGGGATTGCACCAAGCATTTTCTCGTCATCATTTCATCTGAATTTGAGATTTGAAACAGTTGGGACGACGTGGCACCTCCACGACTTCGCCTTTTCTGATGGTCAGCTCTCTGTTATTCCTGGAGATGAAGTCGTGCATGACGCGCATGCGACGCAGCTTCTTCTCCCGTAACTTGGCCGTGTACCTTACAGGTATCCTTTCTAGCTGTGTTGCTGGTGGAGGTGGCGACGGCATCCTTTTGGTGGTTGTCTACACACACAAAGCAAATGCCCTCTTGGTCTTCTGTATCTTTTCCCCATCGACTAAAGAGAGGACGTATGAGGCTGCACCTCGCTGGACGGGGGCCATCGAACCTCCTGCGCCCTCACCGGGGTCTCCGTGGCGGCTGCAGGGGCCTCCCTGAGCTCGGGAGGCTGCCAGCCGTCAAAGAACGCCAGAGTGTATGTCGGGATGTCCTCGTCATCCTCGGGCCATTTAGTGCTGCGCCAAAGTAAGAAACACTTTGAAGTGCTAAGATATAGACTGGCCGTTACATAAGCTACCATACACTTGCACAATCTATTAACCCTTTTTTTTTTTTTTTTCATACATCATATATCTGTGTGAAATAAAGTGAAAATATTGCAAGAAAACGCTGCAACATTTCGACCAGAACAAAATCCAAATTGTATGAAAATTAAATCAAGGACCAACATTAATTAAAATAAGTTAATTCTCTCCCACTTTTAATATACATCAACTGTAGTTTGCACACCACTGCATAAACGTAAGAATATTCCTAGAAAAAGTGAAAAAGTTGAAGTATGAGGTGGAAAAAGTTACAATGCTTATTCGGATAAAATTGTAATTTGCGAGGGTTGAAAACGTGTACAGCCTGTGTTAAGCAAGGTTACCATAGTTAACGGAAACTAACAAAATAACTAAAACTACAATTGGAAAGACAGTTTTGTGAACGAAATAAAAATAAAAATAATTTAAAAAAATGAAAACTGACACTATATCTTACATCAATAAAACTAAGTCAAACTAATTATCACTAGAGCAAAAATTAAATCATACATGAGCTTTCAAGGTTTGTTTTAAATGCATATTTTGATATGAACGTATGCTTTGTGACCCTTTTTTATCTTGCACTTGACAAATACTATAAAATAAAATAAAAAAAAAAGATATTTTATAAAATCAAATAAAACTAATACTAAAACTAATAAAACCTAAACTAAAACAACAAAGCATCAAAAATATTTAAAATAAAACAAATTTTAAACAACTAACAAACGTGCTCCAAAAATGAAGAAACTGAATTCATGAAAAATGTCAGGGTAAAATTCTGCAATATGTGGACTTTTTCAAAAATAATACGGCATTTAGAATACTGTCGTCAACTAGGTCCTCTACCTTGGGATATTCCACGCGTCTCCCAAAGACTGCCACAGCTGGTCCTCCTCGGCGGATGCCTCCTCGCTCATGAGGCAGATACACTGAGGAGTCAGCAGGGGAGCGACGATGCTCGGAGGCACGTCCTCGGAGCACTGAGTCACAATCTGGTGAGTGCAAGTCGCAAAATGAGGTACACCCGAGGAGGTTTACAAATACAATTAGAAATGGCCGCTTCTGTAAAAATTGTAATTTGTGTTCAAAATCTGCATGAATTCGGGTGAGCTGAAATGTAGAATGAATTTGAAATGCAGGAATTGTGGATTGGGAGATTTGAGGGCGGGGATTGGGAGAAAAATTGAGTTATAGGATAGCGGTACGTTTGTAAAAGTTCTCGTCATGAAAACGTGGACTCCTGCAAAAAGCAGGAATTTGGGGAATATTCAACATTTTGAAGTTATTCAAATCAGTTGATCAATGTTGAGGGAATATTTCAATTCTGTATTCATTTGCGATTTTCAAGGAAAATTTCCAATTCTTGCAAAATTAGGAATTTTGCCCATTTTGAGGTCAAGAATGATTTGAGAAATGTTGAATGTGCATTTTTCTCCGCTAATGTGTGGATGTCCTTTTTCTCTATTGTTGACCCCCGCATACTTGCGGTTCGGCATGCGCAGGTACGCATATTCGCTGATTTTTTTTTCAAAATTTTGGGGGGCAGTACGGTAGTTTAAAATATTTTCTTGTTTGTTTTTAGATTTTTTTCCCGCCATTTTTCTTTTTTTATGGGGGGGGTCGAAATTATAGTGAATGTTTATCAGTGTTTTTGCAGGATTGTTGTGGACTGAAAAAATGTATTTATGTTTTTATTTATTCATTTATGATAAATGATTTTAGAATGCAACTTACAAATGCTAATGCAGAGAAGAAGGAGTGCACAAATTCGGACACACTGGGGTTATCGATCTTTCCCTTCAGCTCCACCTGTGGACACAGACACACAATTTATTTTAGGCATCCAATCAAGAAAACCAAAAAAACCCCACGTTTTTTTGTTGTTTTTTTTTTTGTTGGGGTTTTTTTTTTTTTTTGTGGTGAAAGCTGAGATAAATAAGGGAATGGTGTCAAGGGCACACACCAAAAGGTTGAAACCACATTTGATCTTCTGGAGACACTCTTCAAACTCTGCTGTTGGGGGCATGCCGACCATGACTGACAAAACAAAACACAACCAAGATGCATTTTAGGCTTTTTTTTTTTTTGGAATATGCAACGAATCTGTAATTTAAAATGGACAAGTGTCATCAAAACGTCGACGTTCCCAAACCTTTTCCTTTTTTCTTTTTCTTCTTTTTCTTTGCATTTTTCGCTGCGACGCCGGCCACCTTCCCCATGAAGATCTCAATGTCGTTGATGATGTGATTCAAGATGTCCTACGACGTCGAAACGGAAAGATGATGAACAGTTGTCCAAGTATTGAAAAAACACTAACATGAGGTTTCACGCCAGAGCCGAGGCGGGGCCCTCGAGTCTCATTTTTTTTTTACAGACCACGTCTCTGTCCAATTCCGTGTAAGGCCGTCGAGGTGGCAAAGTTTCTTCTCTGATGGCGGCCTCCTCCTCTTCTTCTTCCTCGAGCTCCTCTTCCTCCTGGTCATCAACATCCTTCGGAGCTACAACCAGGTCAGTGTCCTCTAAATGGGCGACCAAAAGCAGATTTAAACAAATGCTGTGTCGTTATTGTCGGTGCAGAATCTTAAGAGTCTCACCGTTGTAATCGGGAGGGGCCCACTCTTTGGGTTCAACTTGACTTCGACTTTGCGCTTCTTGATGTTTTGCGCTGTTGAGTCAGAAGTGTCACCATCAATTCAAAGCCAAAGAGGGCTCAGCGGATTTATGATGGTTGTCCTGCCTACCTTAAACGCGCTTGTGAAAGAGCCCTTTGGACGTAATCAGCCTGGAAGCAAGATGTGATATTTCAATGATGATGAAAGCAATAAAATATATCCATCCATCCATTTTCTAATCTGCTTGTCCTCACAAGGGTCATGGGGTTGTTGGAGCCTATTTGAGCTGTCCTCGGGTATTAGGCGGGGACACCTTGAACTGGTTGCCAGCTAATCGCAGGGCACACAGAGACGAACAACCATCCGCGCTCACATTCACACCTCGGGACAATTTAGAGTGTTTAATCAGCCTGCCATGCATGTTTTTTGGAATGTGGGAGGTACCCGGAGAAAACCCACGCAGGCACGGGAAGAACTTGCAAACTCCACACAGGAAGGCCGGAGCCAGGATCGAACCCACGACCTCTGCACTGTTAGGTCGACGCGCTAACTGCTGGACCACCAGGCGGGCAATAAAATATATATTCAATAAAATATATTTTTTGGTCCTTTAGCGCTTACGACGATATGAATTACAGGTGTCCTGGTGCAAGACTTTGAGAATCACTCCGTTAAAGGGTGTTTGGACGCTCTCTTCTCACCCTGACGTCGTCGCAGTGGAACAAGAAGACGCTCATCACGTGTTTCCTGCTGGGTTTGACCATCACTGCCAGGAGCGAGTTCGAAGCCGTCGTGTCCAACACAGCTTTTAGCTCCACAACGTCACACAGATGAATAGACTCCAGCACTTCCTGAGAGAAAGTCCGACATTATTTTTATTATTATTATTGTTGTTTTTATTCATTCTTGATTAACCCCGCCTCCCCCGTCTATGGCAAACAGGCCCTATAGAAAATGGATCCACATGAGCGGGTGTCAGCAACCTTGGTCTCGGTGTCGGTGAGGAGCAGGTCGGGTCCGTTGACCTCCAGCAGCATGTTCTGGCCCCACACTCGACCCATCTTGTCGAGTAGATTGAGCCTGTCCACACAGTCGGTGAAGCCTCGCAGCTCCTCGCCATCCAGGTCGCATGTGAGTAGATGCTAACACGCAACAGCAGCACGTTGTTAGCATTTTTGAATTCTTCAAATTCTAGTTTGCTTGCACAATGCACAGGTCAGAGAAATCAAAAGTGATTTTAAGAACGCTCTCTTTTCAGTAGCACCGTTTTTCTAACAGCCATCGGGAGAAGCGTTCACTTTTTGAATTCAAATGGTGTCATTCATTTGGGCTGGTGGAGTTCATTAAGCCATTAAATGCATCTTTGGGAAACTAAGAATATGAGGTGTGGTAGGACAAATCCAGGACTGGAATCCCAAAACACAGAGTATACAGTATTTCAAATCGTAACAACTAACTCGAAGTTTTCCCCTTCAAAGTACTCATGCACTTTCCTATCCTTCTCTGGAATGCTTTCGTGAAACCCTGTCAGGATTCTTCTCGGACTCGCCGTAGCTACACCACTGCCGTCTTGATGTTGTCCACACGGAGTTAGGTTGAGTGAGTAGGGAGGGTGCAACAACACGGCGATGTTATTCTCAGCCAGGAACTGTCAGATGCTCAAAGCACTCTGAGCAATTGTGATGTCACAGTGAAGTAGCCTTGAATCGTACCGCCACAACTGTTTCCTCTCCTTGTGTATGAATTGAAACAAACGCCGCTGGATCACTTTGATGACGTGTCGGTCGATCGTCCGCCCAACTCAGAAGGGAAAAACTCATAGTTTGGATTTGAAGTATATCTGCATATCATTTGTGATAGCGGTCCTGGAATTTTTCTGACACACCTATTTCTTGAAATTGCTCCCTTGTAAATAAAAAACAAACAGATGAATGACATAATCTGGTAGAAAACCTAAAGTTGGAAATGACAAAATTCGACAAAAATCTTGGACAATTACATTACACTTGCATTAACACTGCTGTAACAACGGAAATACTGCCAAGGTAGCGACGAGGTGGACACAACGAGACCTTCGAAAACAAACATGACTCAGACCGTACCTCCACTCTGTAATGGAAATACTTGATGGTGTTGTTCATCGAGGCGGCGTACTCCTTCCGCTGCACTGTTGAGCCGACAACACGGCGGTTCATGAAACCGATCCGACAATCGCTCAAAAAATGGTACGGTATGGTGACTTAACGGTATATCGACTTTGCGCTGGGCCTCGACATAGATGACACCAGTGAGGACACTTCATCCCTGAACGAGTTGCCACTGTCACAACAAACAAGAGCAAATTACATAACAAAAAGATAGATGGAATATACCGTGTTCATTTTCACTCCAATTTTTCTTGAGCTGAACTCATATATTTTAGATTTTTTTTTTTAAGGCACAGAAGGCCTATTTTCCTCATATCTTGGTCTAAATCTTTTAGTTAGCACTTCTCCTTTGCCGAGGTAATTCATCCACCTCACAGGTGTGGCTTACTAAAACACCGGTTAGACAACAAGATTGTTATGCAAGGCTGCCCACAAGAAAAGGCCTTTCTGAAATAGACGGTTTAGGCACGCATTGCTTTTCTTCAGTGGAGGGAAAGAAAAAAAACAAAATTCAATCATGACGTGGATGACGCACATACTTGGACTGGATGGATCCTGCATAACTGCTGGTGTCATTCCCCAGCGGACTGTCACTCCGGAACATCCTCGTTCACACCTGCTGTGTCACATGAGTGTCATAAAACAAGGTAGCTCGCTACGTTATTTTGCATGGTATTTCGTTTTGATGCCTAATTGTAAAAATGACCTTAACGTAACACAACAGATGAAAAAAATTAAAGGCTGTAATTGTATTTGAAAAAAAAAATGTTGACCCAAGTCCGCAAATGATTAGTTGCCATTCGTCAGGTAAACACCGCTAATGTGGCAAATGATAATAAAATGTTTACATATGCAGCGAGTGATTTGCAGTTATTCGTGACTTTTCGTGTTTTCAGAAGGCAGAAAAGCAGACTCCTTTGATTTCAGCGAGCTCACATTTGACATTTTTCACTTGGCTTCTCTGAGAAGTTAGATTAATCAAGGGTTACTTACATTCAACCACTGAAACTTTTTTTTTTGCTTCAAGAATGCAAGTAAATAAAAAAGGCGTGTCATCTCGATCAAGAAATAATGGGTTAAAATGTAATGATCATACAATTTTGGTGATTTTTGTGTCCAGGCACGGATGGACGAATAATGTTACACCCAAGGCTGTTTCTTACACTCACTTTTCAATTCGGCTGCTTCTTATGCCACAGTAGGGGAGAAATAAAATTTACTTTTTTTTTTAATATAAAGACAAATGCAAAATGTTTAATCATATTCTCATACCATTCTGTACCATTCATACAACTATGCTGTCAATAGGTTGAAACAGACCAAATCTTGAACACTACCAGATAATTTACTGAGTTCTTACCTTCTGCGTCAAATCCAATTTCGATGCTCCCTTATGGAATATTTAAAATCAGCACAAATTCAAGTCATAGTTTGAGTGAGCACTTAGGACTAGCCCATGAAGACAGAAGACAAAGTCCAGCGTGCGTGACACAACGAATGCGTAAAAGAACAGAGTTGTGTTTCTCGGTGTGGCATCCTACCCGAGCAAAGGTTATTAGATAGGGAAAAGTCGTGGAGGGACAAATGTTTAATAGTTGCCACCGCGATAAATTGACTTGTATTGCTCTCCGCAATTTGACAGCTCTGTGTGATTCATTGGGATTACGTGCGTGGAGCGTTAAATTCTCAAATTGACAGAACAGGGCAAACAATCGCCGCCTACAAGTCAAATACTGTACACTCGCAGGTGAACTAAAACACACGTGAAACAGTTTTTGCTTGACCGTTGGATTATTTCTTGAAAAATTCATCGTTGCCTTGGTGAAATGAAAACGATGAAATGATGACATTTGTGATCTCATTGCTCTTCACACCCCAAAAGTCAACAAAACCTGGCGGACCGCCTCCAAAACAAAAGCACCGGTCCGTTTATTATGGTGTCACCCACCAGCCGAGGAATCACTCTGTTAAACATTAATTGAAAAATATATCGCCGAGTGATGAAATGCACACTGTTAAAGTCTACTGTTAACTGACTACTGTACGTGCTTTGGCGAGCATTAAATCCTCATTTTACACACACCCACACGAGGACGTCCAATACAACAGTCAGAACAAGAAAAACAATGATTTTGGTTTGACACAAGCATGAAATTAATCAATTTAAACGTAAATTACCACAAATGTCTATGAATGCAGTCACAAAGGCATGTTTCAAACCGAGTATAATGGCCACATACAGCAAAGTGATGAGAAACTGTGATTTCCTTGAAATGCTGAACCTAAAAAAAAATGAAAATGTAAAGACGCAGAAGCAAACATGGCTTAAGGTTAATTGCTGGTGCCTATGTTTTTCAACCACTAGGGAGCAGCAGTGCGGCACCACCACCACATTGAGAGTTTCCGGCAATAAGAATCGCATTTATCAGTCAACTTTCTCACAGTTAAACCAAGGCATTGTGATGAAGTGAAAGTAATCTATGACCTCAAAGTAGCTCGTGTGACATTTTTATTTTACATAAAATCAGAGTAAAAGACACCACAAAACACAACTTGGCAACCCCAAGTGCAGGAGCATTCATCTCAAAACAGATCCATGAACCTGAACAATGGTTAGTCAAAGATTTACATACAATTAGTGGATTAAAAATATATTTGTATATACACTCACTCTAAATCTAAATGACACAGTAGATGACTAAACCGGAGCACAGCTCAAAGACGAGCACATTTCTGTCTCCATTTGCTCAATGTGACTTCCAAGCATGGTTGAATGGAAGATTTTTGGGGGAAGTATACAACAGAAAATTCGCCCAATTGTTCAAGTCACAGGCTTGATGTGCTGCTTTCAAAGTTGTGTCGTAAAAACTGGGAATTTGGCTACTCGTTGACATATTTAGGATACACAGGGCAATCTCTGTAAGTCATTAACTATGCGAAACTATCTTTTGCAGCAAGCAGGACTTTGGCCCGTCCATGTCGTGCTCCTGCACACACATACACACACACTGTACAGAGAAGCAGAGCACGAGAAGCGATTAAAAGTAAAATAAAAACACACTCTAGCGAAATCAGAGAGATAGTGATGGGACTTTTAAATAGGACTTAATGAGTAACGTCTTTGCCAGCAGGATGTTTGATCAGGCTCTATATTGGACCTGTGCCTGTCGTTGCCCGTCAGGGTGCTCACTGGCCTTGCAGAGTGTGGACGAGGTTCAAGCCCGAGCCAGGAGGCAAAACCCAGCCGTCCTGGCCCTGGTTGGTGTGCAGCAGGCAGTAGAGCTGTTTCAGATGGGTCACTATGTTGTCTTTGATATCGGGGATGGAGATCTGGAGGCGCACGCTTCCGCTGTCGAAGGATCGCGTGTTGTCTCCGGAAAACATTTCTGTGATCATGCGAGCCACCACGGGAATGATCTGCAAAGAGGTGGACATTGTCTGTTCAAAACAGGGATGTCAAACTCATTAAAAAAAAAAAAAGAGGGGAGTCGATTGGCGGGGGGATGCAAGAGTGCGTTTGTATATGCATGCACATGCAGTAACGGCAACGATCGTGGAAGGTTGGTTGGCTTGAAAATTAGATCTTCAGTTAAAAAAGGTTGGGTACCCCCGTTCTCAGGTGTTAGGCCAGCCCGTAATGTAAAGCAATGCAATTGGTCCTCAACAAATACATGTCTATATATTTTTTTAAAACAGTGACGCATGTCCTCATGGAGAATTAAATTTTAATTAATATTGGATCGTCCTTTCTTTCTGCCCCAAAAATCCCATTGGTCGAGCTCTAGTTGAGGAAGCTAAGGGCCAATTCATTCATCAGAGGAATCATTATTCTTCCAGATGGCAATCACACATAATTCAATATGTGACTGGTGTCCCTGCCAAAAGATTATAATCGCCTCCAGATGCCACAAGATGGCGGCAGACCAGAACTTTTCTATTAGATAGGGCCACTGCCGTTATAAATTAAGCTCCTCCGTTCACAGTTGCACTTAAATGCCACAAGATTAAGCCAAAACAGTATTTTTGTTTTTTTTTTTAATCAGGCAGGGATTTGGCCTAAGCACAAAAACAGCAAATGGGTGAGTTTTTCAGCAAAGAACAGGATGATGACCACCCGCAAATAAATAAATAAATAAAATAAAATAAAATCAGCAATTAAGTGAAGTGGCAAATAGGCGATCAACACTGCACGTCACACTTGTGATACAGTGGCAATGTCTGATCCACGCTTGATTTGTTGCCCAGAAGGCTTTCAGAAGAGTTCAATTCTCACCTGAACCATGATAAGTTTCCTCTCTGTTGGCCTTCCATCCGGCCACTCCTCCCCAAAACATAGGCTGATTTCAAATTGCGGGGGATTCGGGGTTTGGCCGCGCTGGTGAGCGATCACACCTACGCGGCACATGAAACATTCCGATTATAGATGAGGCTCCACATCCAAAAAGTATTTTCACATTTCGGAGTGCGAGAGGATGAAATACTTTGGCAGCAATGGAAACTCACCACTAAGAAAGGACTCCAGGCAAAACAGTTTGACCTTTGTCTGCCGCTCAATAGGATTTGGCGTGGAGGCATTTGGCGCACAGGGGCCGGACCAATACACCTTGCACTGGCACAGACGGACGGCGTAGATATCGTGGCCGCTCACCTCCAAGATCAGACCTCGGTCCATCACGTCCAGCAGGCGGTTGGTGAAGAGTCTCTGCTTGTCGTTGGTGATGTTCTCCGTGGTGGGGAAGCGCAGCTGTTCCAGGCTGACCGGTCCGAACAGCTCCTCCTGGTTGACCATGGGTCCGAGGTCGCCGTAGAAGAGTCTGCAACCCTGAGGGTTGCTGACGGTGACGGTGGGACACATCTCCCTCCCTCGGTACAGGAACTGCACCTCCAGGTCGGTCACTGAATTAAAGACGCATTCCAAAAATGGACGTTTTTACATTGAATGCAAATGTAAGGTACCCTTGTTTTGCTAGTCGGCTTCCCTCTTCTACAGCTCTTGTTGTTGTTGGCACTTAATTTACTGTTGATGAACTACTTCGCCTTAAGGATACTGCAAGTGGGTGACGGTCACTTAGTGATAATTGTGCACATGCTTCGAGGAATTCAAATTAGCGCAGACATACTTGGTAGGGAGCTTATCCACATCTCCGGAGAGGCAAATAAAGTGTCAGTAAGAGTAGGCCCCTGCATCGAGGGGTCAGCCAGAGCGGCGGAGGAGGGCATGTCAGCCAGTGTTGTGGGTTGCATCTCCACATCCGCAGGCTCCTGTTTTGGCCAAACTTTCATCGGTTCCTCTTTGGGCCACGCTTTAATAGATTGGGGACAGCTTGCAGGCGGTGTCATGGAGGACTCAGAGCCCATAGGAGACCACAAGTTGAGAGGAGGAGGACTTGTGCCTGGTTGGTGAAATGAGACGGCTGTGAGCATCAAACCAAGGTAAAATTTCTTTTTTTTTTTTGGTCTGTTTAGGGGTGTAATAAAAGTAGGAGGACAATTAAGTCCTCACCATTGGATGGGTATGGAGGGAGAGATTCTGGTGTGTCTGGAATGTCTTCTTCGGCGCCATCTTCCTCACCTGGAGTCCAAGAACCAGCATCCGAGGAACCTGTGGATTATTAATAAACGTCAGTCTTGAAACTATAGTTACACCGCCCATACATAAAAATTAGCCCCACTGCCCCAAAAAAGCTGTCATCCCCAAGTCATTCTGCCATTTGAACCAACCAGAGGCCTGATAGAAGTCATTTTTGAGAACGAAATATGATGAGATGTTCCGTTTAAATTCTGAGAATTAAAAAAAAAAAAAACGTATTCAATGGAAAAAAATGTAATCGGTCATTACCAATTGCCATCCCAAGTTTTCAGTGACCCAAAACTCACAAATACCCTAACACAATAGTACAAGCGTTTGTCGTAAGCCTCTTATTTCATTTACCTGGGTTGCTTAAGGGTTGTAGGATGTCACAAACATCATAAATCTTTAAAGGATTCATCGGGACCTCTTTGGTTCCGTCGTAGATGAGGTTGAATTCCCGGCTTTTGTTTAGCGCACATCGGAGCTGAGCTTTCCACTTGGCAGGATCGGGTTCGTCAGACCCTTCTTGGAATTTCCCCGTCTCCACAGCCCACGCCTGGAGGAACGTATCAAAATGTTATTTTGTAGTGTCAGGCAGAATGCCATCTACCAAAATCCCTACATTTCGGAAAGCGTTTCCCCAAGACCAGCAATGCAGCCATCCTGGACACCACCATTACATGTTTACACTTTGTTTTTAAGGCCTAAGAGTTCATTTTTTAACTTTATTTGTTAACTGCAGTTAGTCAATTTGCCTAAGAAAATGATAAGCACAGGGCAGCTTTGTGTGGCAGAGTCAGTGCATGTGCATGCACGACAACGACTGACACACTCTTTTCACGCCTTCTGCCACAGCAGTCTCCGGCTTGTCTTGTCATGGCAGGGCATGTTTTTAAAATCCATCCCTTTTTCGAACCGTTAATTAAAAATTAGCATTGAATTGAGATTCAATTAGCATTTAATCGTTAACTTGAGTTAGTTCACATATAGTACATGATCATTTTGAACTTTTTGTGGTTCGCGGGACGTCGGGGCCCACGCAAAGACTAATTGAAGCACAACATTTCGTGCAAACCCAGTTTTGGTGATCGCTTACCTTGAATATGGTGTCCTCGTCCTCGTGTTGGGGCGTGTGTCGCGTGGCGTGCTTCCACGGGATCCTAAAGCGCATGGCGTCACGGTCAATCCACTCCAGGCCGGGATATCTCCCGCTGTCCACCTGGGCGACCAGCCACGGCTTCAGACG